AAGAACGGGTGCTACACATGGAAGGCAGGCCAGAGCCTGTGTACCAGCCACAGCCGCTGCTCCTACTGTCAGCCCCACTGTGCGCCCTGCTGTGGTGGCACTGGCCCCAATGCTTCCTGAAGCCTGTTGGGTGCCAGGGACCTTGTATTACCTCCGTGTTAACATTCACAACACAGTGAAGGCAACTGCAAAGCAAGGTGCTGTATGGACATCGACGTTACTCTCCTTGATGGATCATCACAAAACACTAAGGTGGGTGCCAACATTTTCTCTATCAGATGAGAAAACTGCGGCTGAGAGTGAGGGGTGGCCTGGAGCAAGACGGTGGAGCCGGGGGTGCAGGGGGCCTGAGCCAGGGCCGCTCCCGCCTGCAAACCTGGGTCAGCACCAGGCGTCCAAGTGCCGCTCCTCCCGTTTGAGGGCCTTACCAAGGGAAGAAGTGGGCGAGGGCGGGGCGCACGGGCCTCTGACACCCACACCCTGTGAACAGCACGTGTTCTGCGGCTCTCTGGCCCGGAGTGCCTGGAGCCCCGTGCCCCTGTGAAGGGAGCAGAGCAGGCGGGGTGCCGCCTCTCAGCCCCGAGCTCCAGGGAGCTCAGCAGGGCAGCCTGTGGTCGCAGAGGGTCTCACCAGGGAGTGGGACTCCAGCCCCCAGGGGCGAGTGGCCCCTGAGCCCAGCGGCCACCTTGGGCTCCTCTGGCCGCTGCTGAGGCGAGGGCGGTGGTGTGAGCCCCCAGGCCCCGACCTCATCTGGAATGGTGAGGTGGCGAATAGGGGGCCCCCAGACACACCCACACTGCCGCTTAAGTCCACAAATAAAACATTTCATTTTTTAACTGTTATTTCAGACTTGGATTTCCATCCTATTTCACTTGAAGTATCACCAAAAAATGCAAAATGTAGAAACGCCTGGACCCAGGGCTGGTCGGTGCTTTCTTACTTGTTCCAGTGGGTCTTGGAGTTGCGGTACAAGGATGGAAACATGATGGGCAGAATCTTGGCTGCATTGTCGCTGATCAGACTCATGATGTACTCATTATTCCAGTAATACAGGGCCCGCTCTGCCACCTGCAAGACAGCAATGCGCAGTGTCGTTGGATCGCCATTAAAAATACTCGGCAAATATCCTTCCTTCTACACCGCGAAAAGGATAATGAATTACACTGATTAGAAAAGCATCTCACAGATTCAGAATACTTTGGACTGTGACCCTGAACAGCCTTCAGCAAAAGAGGCCAATGACTTCTGGCCCATCAAGAACATTGCCCCTCGTTTCTCCATTTACTCAATGAACGTCTACACCAGGCTCTGCGCCAAACGCTGAGGACACACAAGCCACAGGAGCCCACCCACCGCCTGCCACCCACGTGGTCAGTCGGCCTTAGTAACTGGGCAGTGCCGTGTGGCACTGAGAAGCCAGCAGTGGAGTGGTGAGTCACGTGATGAGCAGCGGCAGGAATGGGGGTTGCTGGTATGTGTGTGTGTGTGTGGGACATGTGGCTTCAATTTTAAACTGGGTGGTGGTGCACCTCGGGAGGAGGGCGTGCGAGGACAGTAGGTGCTGGGCTGAGGACCGACAGCGAGGGAGCAGGGGGGAGCAGCTGGGCAGGGAAGGGGAACTGAGGCCCTGGCTTGGGGCAGGCCCAGCAGCCACGCGGGCCCAGCGGGCCAGGTCTGAAATCATTGGCAACATGTGCATGGGTTATGGGGGCTGTGCCCACATATCATCCGCCTTTGCTGGGTCACCAACTCCCTCAAGACAGAGGTTTAGCTCATATTGTGCCTAGATTTTTGCCTTGCTTGTGAGTTCACAATAAATACCCCTCATGACATAGAAGGATGGGGTCTCCAAGGAGTGAAATGGAGGCCGGATAGAGCCCGTGGGACACTCGGAGAGAGGCTTAAAGGGCTTAAGGAGGAAACTGGGGAGAGTAAGAAGGAGGCAGCCTGACCGAGGCGCCCTGTCAGACAGGAACACGGCGGTGACAGAACCGGGACGGTAAGAATGGGAGACGGATTTGTATATGTCAGAAACAAGAGCTATGGAAGGAGAATTCCAGAGCCAAAGGTTTATTCTCATTGAGAAATGTTTTCAGTGACGGGGACAAGATGCTGTGGTTTATTTTGTAGAATTAAAGTCTCAGCATCTTATTTTGAAGTACATTTAAACTAAAACCTTGAAGTTTACCCTCAAGTCACAAGACAAGCTAACCATGACCAGCCCCCACTGACTCCTGGTGCTCCCCGGGCGCGGGAGGCGCTCCCCACCCAGCCCGCGCACCTGGAAGTGGGGGCTGGAGACACACTTGGCCAACTGCCGGAAGAGGGGCTCCATGATCTTCACGAATTCTGACGGTTCAATTACATCTAGAATTTCTTCTAGTTCATTTAAGAACATTACTTCTTTTGGGCTGTGAGTCTTTGGCCAGTATTTGAGAAGTGCCATCACCACCTAAAAGAAGAAGACGCGCAGTGTGAAGCCCACAGGCCCCGACATCTGTGACTGAAGAGGTTTTCGCACAAAGGTGTCCCTGTTGTAAAGCCACAAACTTAAGGTGCTTTTTTCCTTGGAGAAGGAACAGTGAGTCAGTAAATTAGTATATGAGTTTTTTATGATTAGAGAAATAGAAAATAAATTTATTTACTTAAGAATCACAATTTTAATTTATGGGACCCACTCTCTGATTAACCACCGTTTCAGTAAAAGTCGGTTCCTTTAAAAAAAAAAAGAGAGAAAAATAGGTGGGTAGGAAAGTTTGGAGAGAAAAAGACCAATGGAGAAACACAGAGCAAATGAATTCACACACACGTTTTAGGGTAGAAGTGGTCAGTCTTGACGCTGGTGGCAACATATACACATATGGACAATCGTTTCTTTCTCAAATTAATTGACCATTCCTATATATTTATACACAAATATACACACGTTATGTGTGCATACACAGTACTTTCAGTTGTGCTAAAACATATCAAAAAGGGAGACATGAAATAAGCTGATGTCATCAGCTAATGCCGCAGGGGGCTGTGGCAGCACCTGGGCTCGGCCCGTTCTGCCGCTCTGGGTGTGTGGGCTTGGGTGGGTCACTACCCCTTCGTGCCTCGACCTCTCACTGGAGACCAGGGGCTGAACAGTCCCCACTTCCTGGGGCTGCCGTGAGAACTTTACTAAATCCACAAACTGCCTACATGAGTGCAGGAAGCTTGGTTGTGTGGCCTTAGCCAGGACCCTCCTGAGAGCGTTTGTGTGGCCTGCCCCACCCACTCCCCGCAAGGCCCGTCCAGTGGAATGGCAACAGCTTTCTGATTTTTGGGTGGTAGATGTAACATCTCTTACCCAAGTCAGGTAGAAAGAGTTTCTGTGGGTAACTTTTATCATGTTTCCAGATTTATTAATACCATAAAGATTATCCACCCAAAATACCAGATTTCACTCAGTGCAGATCAATAGTATTTCTAGAGTCTAGCTATTTCGAGTCTAAAATAGTACAGTGGTCCAAATACGCATATGTAAGTCCAGGTGAAGACATGTGCACATGTGGCTGTACACCTGAGCCTCCTACGTTAAAGCGGCTGCTTGGCATCGTCACAGCCGTTTCTGTGACTGATGCTGGTGTCTGTTCCCCCAGGCTGACTGGAGCCTTCCGCTCTCTGTCATCTCCTGCTCTGCAGGCCACACCCGCTCAGCACTTAGGCCAGCCTGTTTCTTACTGTGGCTAAAAACAAGGTGGCCTTTGATGGCATCTATTTAGAATGATCAGTTTTGATGCTTCTGGCATTCAGGTTCCCAGATAATCTTTTATGATGTTATAGTTTATATAAAACTCCAAAAATACAGAAAAGAAAGTACTCCTAGCTTTGAAGTCTGACATAAAAATTTACAACACAACTGTCTTTAAAAGGAACTATTTTAGAAATTGCATCATTTAATGACCTTCCCTCCTTTTTGCTCAAAATCACTTAGACGTTTATCAAGTACTTGCTAAATATTCTGTATTAGAACAACTATTAAGAAGGCAGCAGATGCAACCACTTCACAAATCCACTATTTATTGTCATTTGGAATGGAATTTTATTAGGAAAAATATAAAACACAACTCATTTAGCTATTCAGTGCCTCTGTAAAAGATATTATTTTTGGAGTCCGATCACACACTGCACTCACTCTCCGCACTATTTGGAAAGGCCTACGATCAATAGCCAACTGGCTCTGAGTGGCGAGCACTTGGCCGAGCAGGGCTCCTGCTCTGGGAAGGCTAATCCCGGCGGCCACGGCTGCCTGCTGCCTGCTGCTGGGCGCGCGTCAGGACTGAGCTCTCCTCCGGAGGCCCGGGGGGCTGCCCGCTCTCTGGAGAGGGCTGGGGAGGGCGGGCGAGCCCCGTGTCCTGGGGAGCTGCCTCTCCTGTCCTGGCATAAGGGGGAAGGAGAGTCCCCATCAGGCCCAGCAGGCCTCGCAGTAAAACCTGATCAGCGTAAAGACAGCAGGCCAGAGGGAATGTGATCTTCCTTCTGTGTGCAGTCTGGGGGCTTCTGTTCTCCTCACAGCAATACTGTGTGCGTTGTGTGTGCCCACACACCTTTTGAGCACTGTACGGAGTTTGCAAATGAAAAGTATTAATCACAGATTATAAATGGGAGCAATAACTGTCATTTAACAGATGGCGCTTTGAAATCCCGTCCTCGGCCATGCAGACTTCAGGGCGCCTCAGGTGCGGGCTGCGCGCTGCCCAGGGAGCCTATGCTTTCACCGCATCGTCGACAAGCTTGCAGTGCTGAGGATAAATGGCCTTTGTATTCTTGTAATATGTGAATTTCACAGAAAGAAATTACTGAGGTAAGGGTCTGAACATTTTTGATGTGCAGAAAATTAAATCTTTCTATAGTTGAAGAATACTATTACCTGGGCTGCAGGAAACTAAGAAATGAAGAGATTCTAGGTGGAGACACTGGGAACTGGGCGAGTGAACGTCTCTGCGCCCCTGCGGAGTCGGGGTTTTCTGCCTGCGGTGCCCACGGGAGCCAGCCCATCCCGCCATCCCTCACACGGCTGACACTGAGGGCGCTCACCCCGCGGAGTCAGCCTTATCAGTGGGGATCAAAGACATTTACAAGACCTCCAAATGCAGACAGAGGAATTTAGGATGTGCCACCAGCGGAGAAATTATACCAAAGAAGGCTTTTTTACTCTTAATGCTGCCTTAGTTTTCTTTCCCTGTCTGAACATGCCTTCAGTTTAGTTAAGAATAAAAGTAACATGTCCTCTCTCTAAATTGGAGTAAACACTTTGTATCTGATAAGATTTGGCACATTTTCTTGGGGGCTTCCAGAGCCTCAGGCAGAGCTGAGGCAGAGGCATGAGAGGACCCCAGGGAGGCAGGCACAGGTATGGGCCACCCTGAAGCAGGGGCACCCCAGTGCCTGAGGTGGCAGCTGAGGGACGTGGTCAAGGGCTTTTCTGATTTTGTGGGTTACATAGGGAGACCACACACAGAATTTAGAAGCTTAAAATACAGCAGAGATCAGAAGTCAGTTAACTCAGGGACACAGTATGAAGAATTCTCATGTGTTTACACGGTGGGAATTGTCATTGCTCAAGAAAACTGTGGTTGACTAAGGCACGGACAAGACTCAGGGGGTACCATGTTTACCCATCCTACTCCAATAGTAGCTTTTAACAGGAAATTCAAGCTTTTAAACTGGCACCTAATAGTTCTTACTTTGTTACTCAATAGTAAAAAAACAACCCAATTAAAAACTAGACAATGGATTTAAGGACCTTCCTCCAAAGAAGATACACGAATGGCTGTCAGGCACACAAAAAGCCCAACGTCTTTAGTCATTATGGAAACACAAGTCAAAAAGCTGCAGGAGTTCACTGAATATGGCTGGTAATTGTAGGTCTGCTTTTGTCATGTAGCTGTATTCCTATTCTGTTAATGTGTGTACGCAATTTAATTAGTAGTGTGTTAAAATCTA